GCTAAAGAGCGTTACTTGGCAAGATCATGCAGGTAGTTAGAAGCAGACAGTGAAATTTTTACTCCAAACCTCTGCTTTCCGTATTTGTCATAGGAGGTGATTAACAGCTTAGTTCACAGAGGAAGCACTTGTCAAATCAATTTACACTGATAGTGTCCCTCATACAGACACCTTGGAGTCCTTTGCAAAATTGATATGAAAACAAGTCAAAACCAAAGGCAATGAAAGGAGAGGACACAGGTCAGACAAGAAAGCTCAGTTTAAATTTGGCAGTGCGTATTGATTCAATTAATTTAATTTTTATCTGTCACTCATAGTATAAAAAAGGCTTCGCCAACAGAGCTGAAACCAAGATAACATTTTGAGTGGATTTGGGAACCACCAGATCTCGGGCAAAGAAACAATTAAAAGGCATTGGACACAGCGGGTCAGGAAGAAGCATCAATCAAAGCACGTACAGCACAGTCATATAAGAGAACAGGAAAAGGAAAATTCATTGAAAAGATGGTAAAGTAGCTCACAAGTCTGTTGCAAAAAGGTAGATGAAACAGCCACAGGCAGCTTTTCAAGACAGAATTAAATGCAGTTCAGGAAACAGGAAATTCAGAAGGGTACAGGAGAGTTACCGAGGGCAGAGCTGGGCTAAGCATAACAACAATTTGTAGGCATTTCTGCTATTAAAACACCTAATTGAGTTTGCCTTAATTTGGAGTTTACACAGAATCCTGAGTTTACGAACAACTGGGAGTGAGTTGAAGAAGGGTTTGGAAATGCCAGAAGTTTCAACATTTCAAAAATCGTAACTGAAGCGTGTTTTAATTTTGTCACGAGCTTCCTCTTTGAAAACGTGCTGTTGTCTGTCAGGGAATATAAAGCCATAAGGCCAGTTGTAGAATCTCCTAATTCAGTGCTTTCTACGACTTCCCCTTAATAGACATTTATGGAGTGTATAGTGATTGACTGAGTTCAGCACTTCCAAAGAGCCCATAACCTGAGGAAAAGTGAATACTTAGAAACATTCAACAGATGCAACAGATGGGAAATACATTGATTGACAGCTAGCCTTAAAAGATAGCAATTGCCACAGACAATCTTCACCACGAATAGTGAAATCAACAATAGCAAACATTCACATGGAAAGCACAGTGGAGGTGGAGGAGAGAAAGATGAAAAAGTTTAGAAACAATTCTGAAATCCAGGAGGACACTGAACTTGTGTGTGACTGCCTCAAGTGCAGAAAGAAACGTAGTGTGCTCTGCAGAAAGAAACCTATTATCAACCTCTTCAGTAGGTAATTTTGTTCTCCTGCATAGAAACAAAGCAGTGCTGGGGCTGGTCTCGCCAAAGCACACCTGAAAATTAAAGAAATGGTTTTCAATGTAATCTCCAGTTGGACATTCTCAAGACAGATCAGTCCTAAAGAGCGTTAATTTCATTAATTCCTGAAATGAGCCTATGGGAAATTATTTAATTATTTTCCTACTTTGCTTTCTAATTTTGGATTGGCTTCAACAACGGATTAGAGTAGTTCTTGTCTGTTTTGGGAAAACTGGGGAAGTAAAGCTGTTGTGCTTCTTTAAGGGTGTTTT